TAGAACCATGTTTTAGCCGTAGTCAAATAATAATATCCCCAAGTTTTCAAAATCAACAAGTTATGCAACAACGTATATATCAACATGTATATACAAGATAATCAACTATCTACCATGCACAACCGAATTTGGAAACACATACAATACATGCTCTAAGTCCACAACTACTAAGGCATGACAAATGTCGAATTTTTAGTGTGCGATTCATTACACGCTATAACAATATATCTCAACATTGAAATCATAAACTCATGAATCTAATACAAGTTCAAAATCATGATTTAAACATATAATCAATGTTAAACACATGATTAAATCATTAACGCTATAGAAATGGAAATTAATTAAATAAACTAATTAATCTCTCTAAGTTTCAAATCTCAATCAAATGATCCCTAATTAACACATATTAAACAACATTGCATGGCCATTACATACATCCATTCTAAATTTTAATTAAGCCAATGGAACAACAAAGTAGAATTTAATTAAATCATGATAATTAAATCTCTAACTTCTAAAGTAACTTCAAATGGTCTTAATTTAATATATACTAGTAAATAAGTCCTAGTCATTTCAAATATCAAGTTTAAAACTCAATTAAACCAATGGAACCCTTAAATCGATTTTAATTAATTCATTTAATTAAAATCTCTAGATTTTTATACTCATCCAAATGCTCCAAAATTAAAGTACGTCAAAGAGCATGCCAAAACTTAATTTAATAACCTATCACAAGTTAATTTATGCAAGGTACGACCATGGGAATTAATCTATCAGAAAATAAAAATATTAAATAAAGGTTGCAATTCTTATTCAAATGACCCAAATTTAATATATGTCAACAACCATACTAAGGCTAAATTTACTAGCATGCTATACTTTAATTCTAAGTTATACACATCCTTGAGAATTAAATCCTACACAAGGAAAATAATTAAATTAAATTCTAAGATTAATACAAAACATGCATATAAGTGGTATAAGCTTATAAAATCATCAATACAACATAAATAAAAGCTTAAGACATTCCCTACCTCAATTTGAGATGAAAATCTCAAAAGCCACCAAAATGAAACCACTCCGAATCTGACAATACTTTGGAATTTTGTCAGGGACAACGTCGTGAACATTAAACTCCAAAGAGGACCTACCAAAATTCAAACTTGAACTCAAACCCGAACTCAAAAATTGGCCAAAAACGGGTTCTAATAAGGGGGAAAGATGCGCGTAGTCAAGACAAATACAAAACGCAAAGGCACTTTGACTTTTTAACAAAAGGAAGAAGGTTTAATTGAGAGAAGAAGGGTGGCAGCCCCCCTTGGGCTATCATAGAAGCTTCTGGTCGTGCATAAAGAAAGGGGAAGATAACTTTTTAATTTTATAACCCCCTATTTATACGAAAACCCTAAAAGTGCCACGAAAGGGCCCCGCCGGGTCCGGAAAAGTGAAATTTGAGCAGACGCACTCAAACGGCAAAACTCCGTGAATGAAAAAGAACCAAAATAAGAAAATATGAATAACGAAAGAAACAATGCCAAAAATCGAGTCCTGAGCAGAGAGATATGCCTCGAACAAGTTCGGCGGCAACCGGGGCCAGAAACTGGAGAAAAATGACCAGAAGGAAATTCTAAGAGCACACAACTTGACAAAATGTGAAAATGAATCATGTACGAGGATCCAGGCTCAAAACAAGGCATTTTTGCAATAACTTTCATTAATTGCTCAATGGCTCCTCCAAAAAGTGAAAACTGCACTAATGACCCAAAATGCTAAAAATATTTTCTTAACAACCCCTGAAATAAAATATCTTCAATAATATTTATGAAAAACACCCTAAGAAAAGAAAAAGATTCTGAAAAACTATGCATCCATACCCCTATGGATACTGGGAACAACCAGAGTACTTTACTGCAAAAGTAAAGATACATATTTCGTAGAAACCACTTAGAATGAAGATACGTGAAGTCAAAAACCAACTCCAAGCACGGAAAGTGAGGTTGTGCCAAAAAGTGACAAGCAGGGAAAAGACAAAATAGGGAAAAAGACGAAAAGTGAATAGTGTCCAAAAAAAAAAAAAATGTGGAAATGACTCGGTCCTTAAAGGAAGTTTTCAATCTAAGGGAAAGAGTCTCGGAAACCATTTCTGAGCGCTCGAAATGATACTAAGCGTCGAGAAATAGAACTCGAAAAAGAAAATTAAACGAAAAAAATTTATCCGTAAAATTTGAGAAAAAGGAAAAGGAGGAAAATGACCGGGTCATTACATTCGTCTTCAAAATTTTCAAGAATTTTCAAGGTCAATCTCGTTTCTAGCCAATAAGTCATCAATGTCCTCAATTGTCTTTCTTTCATTTGCTAAACGACGTTCCTTTTCTTCATTTGCCAATAACAACAATTTTTTTCTTTCGCACTTTCAGCTACTCCCCTGTAGCTTGATCTTTTTCAAAAATTTCATGAAGCAGATTAAAGCATGGAAGTGTTGCATTGCTTTTTTTTTTTTTTTTTTTTTTTTTTTTTTTTTTTTTTCCCATTAGGATAAGACTATTATTATAAAAATACTTCACAAGTTAAAACTATAATATAAGAAAATTGGGGAAAAAAATGCATAAGATATTTTTTTACTTACTTTAATTAAAGCATCCCACACAGAAATAAGTGTTTCTTATTAAAGAGATCAGAATTGTTGTATATAATAGAAAAAGCTGGTCTTGCGTATTGGAAGAGAAGGGATTGACGACTGATAAGGAAAGGTAATGGAATGACTGATAATTCAAGCGAATACTCACTTTATAGAAAAGTGATAAGTCAAGAGAGGAGGATATTTTGGTAAAATTAAGAAACTTTGAAAAAGTTGTTACTCACTTCGTCACAAATCCCATGAAATTCTGCCAATTTTTCCTGTATTTGTTACAACTATGATATTTCCTCTCAAATCTGATAAAATCCAATTCTTGTCAAAATTCCTTCCTTTCCGAACAATATAAATTTCATTCTAAAATCAAATCCCGTGGAATCCTATAGTAGAGGATAAATTAAGAATCATTAGTTAATTTATTTATAGTTAGTTTTTTTCTTTACTTTTGTTCTATTGGGAATTAGTATAGAAAAATTAGACAACTTTGACTTTATTGGACAAGTGTCACGAGTTTTCTTGGTGTGCTAATCTATTTATATTTAGTTTCTTCTCTAGTATAGTTCTAACACCATGCCAGTTAGCAATTCAGGTGGGTTGGGAGAGTTTGAGGTATAATTGAAGCTCAACCTATCATATGAAATGCTAAACCCAATCTCAATCCTAACCCTATCCTCAACCTTAACTATTCAACCAAAGTCCAACCTATTCTTCTACTTTTAAATTCGGGTTTACAACTCGGACTTAGATTCCGGGTAAAAACTTCGGGTTAATTCGGGTTACTCATATTACTAATACTTACACAAAAAATGTAATATGATCTTGAATTAGTTTTACATTAAATTACTCTTAAACAAGAAAAAAGTTTAAAGACTTTTTTTTGTAGATTTTTAATAAATTACAAACAAAATTTTAGAAAATTAATTTTCCTAAATGTTAACATACAATAAGTTAAGATTTAATAAAAGAAGTTGAAAAGAAAAAAAGTAATCATAGTTTAAATATTATATATAATGTATTTAAAAGTAAAACTATATATGAAAATAATATTAGAATTCGGGTTCGGGTTGGCTCGGGTTGCTAGCACTTCAACCCAACCCAAGTTGCACCCCTAATGCTAATGTTATTAGTATCAAAATAACATTAATATTTTTTCTTCTCTAATCATTTCCAACATTGCATTCGAAATTCGTAGTTTTGAGAGAAAATTATTGATATTCTGAAACTCATTCGTGTATAATTATAGATATATTATTATTATTACTTAATTAATATAATGTATAATTGTAAAACCATAGTGAAATAATTTATATATAGATTATGGAGGGAAAATTCCCACCAACCACAACATACCACGTGGCAATAAAAGAATAGTCCATTGCTAACTGAAACCACCCAGAAGCCCATTATCAACCGGGAGCCCAATAACGAAAAGACCACAAACATGTCAAGTCGACCCGATTAACGAAGGAAGCTCCATTTGACATAAAACAGATCAAGGGTCAACCCGATCACGATTAGCCCATAACTCCATAACGCCCGCCAAAAAAGAAAGGGGTGCACGATCAGTAAGCATAAACACCCACGTTTAGAAAACCGCTAGTAACGGCTCCATGTAATTCTCTGTATAAAGCTTATAAATAAAGAATGAATGAGAATGGAAAGGGATCGAGTTCCCATCATTGTTTCTTTCTTGAAATTGTCTGTTATCTCTTTTATTTTCCGTATAATTTCTTTGATTTATTTCTTTAAGTGTTCGGGTGTGAAAATTGCACCTACACTTTGGCGCCATCTGTGGGAATTCGATACAAAAAAGTCTATTTTTTACCACTTTAATGCGACATCTCTCCGGAATAGAGACATGATCAGACGCTGCACGACAAGATATCATATAAAAAATGCGTGAAAAGATGCAAACACAATTTGACGTCCTTCGGCGAGCCAACGAAGATAGCACAGAACAGATTAATGAGCTAAGACAGGCTCATGAAGCCAACATAGCGCAAATTAATGTTTTATGCCAGGAGAATGAAGGACTTCGAGCCAACACTCGACCAATTGATCCGCTGATCAACCCATAACCCGAGCATCAGAACGAAGATCCACCTCTGGCGCTTGGACCAAATAACCCTCCCCTTCAACGGAGGGTCTCACGGCAACCAATCGACAAAGCGTTGGATCAAAATGATATCGAAGAGATAACAAGCCAATCCCGTTTCCTAGGAAATACCACGATGGAAGGACCTTGAACTACCAAGGCCCAGCTTTAAATGACTATATAGAGTAAGGTAGAAAAGAAGTATGGATCCCAGTTGATGATCAACAATCACCAGGGAATGATTTTATTGTTAGATTTCGAAAGGAAATGGATGAGCGGATCAAAGGGCTTAAGGCCCAAACACCTGAGGACATGGCGAGAGAGTTCACTGCTTCGATAGTGAAGACTCCCTTTTTGGATGAAATAGAATGGGTGGCAAGACCCAAGAAGTTCACAATGCCAAAGTTCACCAAGTTCAACGGAACTGGAGACCTCCTCCAACATCTCAATCATTACACTCAGGAGATGACATTGGAAACGCATAATGATCCATTCATATGCAAAATCTTTCCATCCAGCCTAACAGGAGTAGCCCTGGAATGGTTTAAGAACTGCCCGTGTAAGTCCATTTTGAACTTTGAGACACTATGCATTGCGTTCCTGGCACAGTATTGCAGAAACAAGAAGCAGAAAAAGACTATTGCTAATCCCTTCATGATTTGGCAAATGAAGGGGGAGGGTTTACAAGCCTTTCTTACTCAATTCAACATGGAGTCTTTAGGTATCCCGGATTGCAATCAGGATACAGCCATAGAGGCATTCAAGATAGCTATGGTGCAAGGCTCACATTTTCATTCCTCACTGGTAAAAAAGACCCTAGCTAACATGTCGGAGTTAAACTCGAGAGTATAAAACTACATCAGACTTGAGAAAAGAAGGAAATGACAAGGCAATAAAGATCAACTCTGGTCGCGGTACAAAACTGACAGAAAAAGAGCCCGAGCAGGTCAAGGGCTCATCGAGAACCCTCGAGTATCGAGGGGAGAACTCTGGAGAAGAAATCCAGAATAGCCGAGAAAGTCACACCTCTTAAGGTAACACTAGTAAGGTTGTATCAGGAGGCTAAGGATAGAAACATTTTCCAGATCCCACCACTAATCAGACAACCAATGGAACAAAGAGACCAAAGTAAGCACTGTGCATTCCATAATGATTTCGGTCACCTAACCGCGGCAAACAATCATCCTGTTTGAGTAATCAATATGATTCATGGTCGTTTGGAAGAGGATGAACAACCAGAAATTTTTTACAAGATTCAACTCAAGCAAGCCCACAAGCTACGAAGGGTCAGCGAAATCAACGCAGTTGAGTATAAGTAGAGTTTGGTGCATGTCTCCTTCCATGAGGGAGACCTCAAGAGGATACAAAATCCACATGAAGATCCACTAGTGACCAGTCTGCTAGTAGCCAATTGTTTGGTCAGGTATATACTGATTGATCCAGACAGCAGTGCCAACATCATAACAAAGTGGACATTCGATCAACTGAAGTTGGCCTTTGATCAGATCTGCTCCACTAGAAATCCCCTGGCAGGGTTCAATGGAAGAAGGGTGGAACCTCTAGGCATAATCATGCTATCAGTCACTGCAGCCAAATGATATTTAAAAGAGAACTTTATGATTATGGATATCCACCCAACCTATAACCTCTTAATGGGTCGATGATGGATCCACTGAATGAAAGGAGTCCCATCAACTCTACATCAAGTCATGAGGTGCACTGGCCCAAATGGTTGAGAAGTCATCGATATATGGGGGGATTAGGTGATGGCAAAGAAGTGTTACCATACTACGGTTTGTCTAACTAATAAAGGAAAACAATTACCAGGCTCTTCCTCTCCCGAAGAGAGTAAGGAGTCAGAAGAAGAACATCCAACCAAAGAACCCCTAGAGGCCGTGCAAATAATCACAGGGGATGAACACAAGCTAACCTATATGGGGACACTCTAATTAGCCCAGAAAAAAAGGAAGAGTTGACAAAAATCTTAAGGCAGAATGCCGATATCTTCGCTTGGAATCAATGGGACATGCTAGGAATTGACCTACATGTAGCATGTCACAGCTTGAACGTGGACCCAAGCCACCACCTAGTGAAACAAAAGTAGAGGAGGTTGCCTTTGAAAGAAAAAAAATCATTGCTGAAGAGGTCGATCGACTTCTGGAAGCAAGATTCATCAGAGAAGTCCAGTACCCTCAATGGTTGTCAAATGTAGTCATTGTCTAGAAGAAGAATGGCAAGTGGAGAGTATGGATCGACTTCACTAACCTGAACAAGGCTTGCCCGAAAGATAGCTTCCCACTACCCAAAATCGATCAGATGGTGGATGCTACGACCGGGTATGATAAACTAACTTTCCTTGTTGCTTATTAAGGTTACAACCAGATGCCGATGGACCCTTCAGATGAAAAGAAAACTTCTTTCATTACCGAACGTGGGACCTACTGTTACAAAGTAATGCCCTTCGGACTAAAGAACGTAGGGGCAACTTATCAACAGCTAATTAATAAAGTGTTCGAAAAGCAGATCGGCCGAACAATTGAGGCTTACATAGACGACATGGTTGTAAAAAGCAAGGATAAGAAAGATCATCTGCAAGATGTATTCGACACTCTCAGGGAGAATAAAATGATGTTAAATCCAGTAAAGTGTTTCATTTGGGGTTTCCTCAGGCCAATTCCTCAGTCATTTGGTGAACAAGAGAGGAATAGAGGCAAACCCTGCCCAGTTGACAAAACTGCTACAGAATTAAGAACCTCAAACCATGAAGGAAGTCCAAATTATCACCGAGAGAATAGCGGCTCTTAGCCACTTCATAGCTAGGTTGTTGGACAAATGTTAGCCCTTCTTTGATGCAATCAAGGCTAGAAAGGGAGACATCTGGGGGGAAGAGCAGCGAGAAGCTCTCATAAAACTCAAGGAATATATGACAAGCCCTCTAATTTTATCTGCCTCAGAGCCAGAGGAACCATTGTACCTCTATCTGGCTGTATCCCAATCAGCAACCAGCTCAGCCCTAGTAAGAGAAGTGGGTAAGAAGCAACACCCGGTCTTCTATTCCAGCAAAACCATGACTAATGTAGAAAACAGGTACTCGATGGTAGAAAAAGTCATCCTCGCTTTAGTCTAAGCAAAAAGGAAGCTTTGACATTACTTTGAGGTTCATCGGATAATAGTCCCCACAACACATTCGATCAGAGCAATCCTCAGTAAGCCGGTGTAGGTGCAATTTTTCACACCCGAACACTTAAAGAAATAAATCAAAGAAATTATACGGAATATGGAAAATAAAATAGATAATTTTTGCAAGAGAGAAACAATGATGGGAATTTAATATTTTCTCATTCTCATTCATGCTTTATTTATAAGCTTTGTACAGAGAATTATATGGAGCCGTTACTAGCAGTTTTTTGGACGTGGGTCTTTATGCCCACTAATATCGTACCCTTTTCTTTTATTGCGGGCGTTATAGAGTTATAGGCTAACCGTGGGTGGGCTGGCCCTTGATCCGTCTTATGTCAAGAAGAGCTTCCTTCGTTAATCGGGCCGACTTGATATGTTTGTGGATTTTCTGGTATTGGGCTTCCAATTGATAATGGGCTTTCATGTGGTTTCAGTTAGCAATGGATTACATTCTTATTGCCACGTGGTATGCTGTGATTGGTGGGGAATTTTCCCTTCACACTTTGCCCCCGATTCCTTTTATAAATTGAATTCGTATATGGAATTGTAACTGTTTTCAAGAAGTGGAGAAGGTTTTGCGGTTGTTACTGCCTATCATTACTATTTGTGCTCTCAATTTTTGGGGTCTCGTGCTCGCCTTTTTGTTATCCACTTCACTTCGTCTATATATTGTGTTTTTGCCATTCGGGCCTTTGTATCTGTGATCCTGTCTCTGAGTTTAAGCTAGAATCCGACCGCTGCTACTTCATCTCTCTTCATCTGTTGAGGTTAGTCTTTCTTCTATTCCCTCTTTCTATCGTTATGAGTCAAGAAAGTAGCGAACGAACTCGTAATGCTTATATGACCGATTCTGAGTCGGGGACTGCGGTGATGAGTTTGAGTGGTTATGTCGAGGGTCCTATAATCCTCCCCGTAGATATTGTAGAAAGGAAGTCTTTTTCAATTACCCAGTTGAGAAAGAAAAACCGCGTTCCTTCAGATGTCACCCTTAAAGAGTATGATCATGATTTGAACTTTAGTACAGGCGAGGGTTTGGAAGAAGGCGAGATGCTCTTCTCGACTTTACATTTTCCTGCCATTCGATTTTCTCTTAACCCTTTCTATCTTCGGGTCCTGTCAATGTTGAATTTGGCTCCCCTTCAGGTTAACCCTAATTTTTTCTGCATCTCTCTTGCCTTCTTGCTTTGAATAGGGTTCGAGGTTTGACCTGATCTTTTATTATGCTATACACTTGATGGAACAAAGGGTGGAGAGGGTAGGTTCCACTTTCATTCTAGACCGGGTAGGACTTTTTTCTCTCATCTTAACACTTCTAATAAGGAGTGGAAAGATGAAATTGTTAAAGTTGGAGGGGATTGGCGATATTCATCCGCTCGGGATTTATTTGTTCGATCAAGCTTTCATGCCCCATCCATTCCTGCATTCGACGATTCGGGCGAGTCTTCTTGCTTTGTTTTTGTCGTAAAGCATTTCTATTATATATATGACTTCTTAGATCATAAAACTAACTTTTTCTCTTCAAAATTTACAGATAGCCGTCTTGAGTATTTACAGGCGAGAGTTTGGAGCGACGTTCCTTCTGCTAAGGTCCTTCTTTCCTTTTCCCTTCTCGAGATAACCTCTAAGGATTCTCCTATGATTGTTCAAAATCCCGAGGAGCCTATCGACCTTGACGGTTCTCATACTGAGGCTAGTCCTGTATCGCCTGCCCCTCTTTTTCTTTCTTAGTCAACGATGGAACTTCCTCCTCTAAAACCCCGTACGACTAGGAAAGAGAGGGAGACAACTGCCAAACTACTATAGGAGAAGAAAAACACCCTTGTTGAGGTAGGCAAGTCCTCTTCTTCTAAAAAATAAAAGGGGGTTCAGTCTGTGCTTGGGCACAAGCGCTCTTCCGTGAAGGATAGTTCTCCTTCAAAGTGCCCCAAGCTTATGGCTGGGGCTTTTGGGGCCAAAAGTTCCCTAGTCCTTAATGCTATTAATGTCGCTGGGGGTGACTTTGTGGGGTCTGTTGAAAAGTGGTTCCCCAAAATGCTGAAAGTTGACGGCTCCCCTATCACCATTGGTGATTTTGGAGCCAAGGACTCGGAGACGCTGATGGGTTTGGCCAAAGGGATGTGGCCGCTTAGGGATGAGATTCTACAGTAGCAGATGAGTGTTGATGATCTTTTTACCCTTGCTCCTAAGTCCATTATGGAGGTGACTTTTATTGACCCTTCTTTAGTTTCCTTATTCTGACCTTCTGAAAACACTCTGTTCCTTTTTTGCAGAGTTCTTTCTTGATGTTTGCCTTTATGAAGAAGCTGTCAGCTGACTCTCTTCAGGCTAACCAATCTGATGCCCTTCAAAAGCGGGTAGACTTTTTGGAGGCCTCCCTTACTGAATCTAAAAGGGATAAGGTCCAACAGCTCAAGTCAATTGAGTACTTCGATAAGAGTGCCAAGGAGCTTGAGAATACAGTGGCTGAGCTTAATTTGTAGCTCGGGAAAATGAATTCTCTTATTCAAACCTGCAAAGATGGGGGTTTGAAGATGTTCAACCGCTATTCCCAAATTGTGAATCTTCGATATGCCAAAGGCTCTAGGCTTGGTTTTGCTTAGGGGAAACTTCTTTCTAAAGAGAGGGATTATGGTGATGCTGATGAGCATGACGCTGAGCAGGGGCTTTTGATTACTGGGGAGTATGTCGAGCCTTCTGCCGGACCTAGAGAGATTGAGTTTGCTACTTTGCTAAAAGGCGAGGTGGCTACTGAGGTTTTGTTTCCTCTTCAGTATCCTTTGAGTTCTCAAGTGTTGCCTTCTTTGGCACTTGATGCACCTTAAACTACTTCAGCTAGGGTGGAGCTGGTTGATGCCTTTACATAGAGTTTTAATGCTGAAGGTGGGGCTGAGCCCGAGGATGACCCTGCTCATGAGTAGTTTGTTGTTCATGTGTTATTTTGACTTTCTTTTTGTTATGGAGGTGTAAGGTATGTCCTGCCTCCGTTGTAAGAAATATCCTGTTTTGAATAGATGTTTTCTTTGCACTTCTTTTGATTGTTCATATTTGTTTTGAATCTTTGGTGGATTTGATCAACTTTCTGATCAAATCTAATTTAGCGTTTGGCTCTTGGGGCCTTCGTCTATTTTTGCGATCGGCTCTTATGGTTGCTCAGTTATTTTGGACTTGATCAATTTTTGAACAAATCTAATTGGGTGTTCGACACTTGGGGCCTTGCCTATTTTTGCAATCGGCTCTTGTGGCTGTTCGGCTTTTTTAGACTTGATTAATTTTTTGATCAAATTTGATTGGGCGTTCGGCGCTTGGGGTCCTTGCCTATTTTTACGATCAGCTCTTGTGGCAGTTCAGCTTTTTTGGACTTGATCAATTTTCTGATCAAATCTGATTGGGCGTTCGGCACTTATGGCCCTCACCTAGTTTTGTAATCGGCTCTTGTGGCCGTTCGAATTTTTTAGACTTGATCAACTTTTTGTTCAAATCTGATTGGGCGTTCGGCTCTTGGGGCCTTCGCCTATATGTGTATATATATATATATATATTATTTATTTATTTATTATATATTTTTTAATGGGTCTTTCGAAGGTCCAAACATAATAAAAGTGTTTGATGTGGGGTAGCCCCTTTTTATTGGTCCTTTGTGGTCAAAACGGGTCTATCCCTTAACAATGGGTCGTAATGGGTCTCCATTATTAAGGGGGTTGACCCGCTGATATTGAAACCAAATGGTTTTGCTTTAACTATATAGAAAATATTTTCTTTTTAGTCAATGTGGGACATTGATCTAAAAGGAAACTATTTAATCCAAAAGAAAACGGGGAATGCTCTGAATTACGGACCCTTTGATAGTGGGTTGTGACTATCCATGGGTCTCATAATTCAGGCTCTCACCCGCTGATTTTATACCCAATGGGTCGTACTTTAATAATAAAGGGAACTTTTCCTTTTTAGTCGATGTAGGACCTTAGTTTAAAAAGGAATTTCCTTTATAAAATAGGTGTGGGGAGTGTATGGAGACCTCTGATAATGGGGCATTTGATAATAGCTCTATTGTAAATGGGTTCCCATTATTAAGGGGTCCCACTCACTGATTTGTAAGTAAATCACATAAGCTATAAAAAAAATAGTATAAATGTCTGTTTTCTAGATGATGTAGGACATTGTTATTTATAGATAGAGTGGTCTTGTCTTTCTAAAGCAAAACAAAAGGTGTGAAGTGGAGACCCCTAATAGTGGGTCCCATTGTAGGTCGCCTATTATCCGGGGATCCCACTCACTGATTTGTAAATCGTATTATTTTTATTTAAATAATAGTTAAAAGTCTTATTTTCAGTCGATGTGGAACTTTCGAAAAAGACAAAAGGCACCTTTATTATTTAGTATTGGAAAACATTGTATGATTACTTTATTGGAAATACCTTTTCAATTGCATCGCATTCCTTAGTTTGGCCATTTCAGCGCCATCCAGATGTTGGAGTCAGTATGCTTCTTTCCCAATCACATCCGTGATCCGATACGGACCTTCCCAATTAGGATCCATTTTGGCCGACATATTTTTCTAATTTCATAAGCACTAGGTCTCCTGGGTTGAAGCTTCTATGTCTAACCCTTTTGTTGTAGATGTTTGC